ATGGATTTGACTGGTATTCATTTATCAAATGTCTAGAGTCTTGTGATTGTTAAAAAAAAGAATATTTAGACCAGGACGGAGTTGTTGGGGGAGACTAGGGTAATGATGGGCAAAACGTTCACAGGAAAAAGAAAGTCTCCACACTCAATGGTAATTCCTAGAACATGATCAAAATCAGGTTAACAAAATGCTGAAACAATTTAAGACAGGACATTTTGTTGTTTTTTTCCTTTAAGTAAAGTGGTCTTTAGTCTAAGTATTAGAGTGAATAGTACTTTGTACATCCAGTTGTGTTTTCTTCCTTCGACTGTAACAAGTATTTATTCTTTCTGTTTCCCCAATTTGTATTCTTCACTGACTGCTTTATTCCACTGACTGTGGTCCTGAAAGATAAGTCATTTGGGGGAAAATATGAGAAGTAATATATTTCAGCCTATTAAAATACACTATAATATGTCCATCTTCACATAAAGGTGTGTGCCACTACTTACTAGAGATCAGCAACATTTTTTCAATCTCTCACCCAAAAGACACTTTAAGTTTACATTAATGAATAGCATGGGCCATTTTCCTTAATTGTTAAGCAACTTCATATAATATGAGTAAAACTATTTCTTACTGGATTCTGGTTTGATGGTATATTAAAATGTACTGTTGTTTTTAATGTACTACATAGAAACTTAAAGACTCTATTGACATGATCAGCATGTAAACACACTGTGTCATCTATTTTAAACAGCTGTGGAAAAGCCTTTGCTATGAATGCTCTATTAAGATACAGATCCTCCCTTATAATCTGACAGCTGGGCTTGAATTGTGGGACACTTCTTGCTAGTGGTGTGTCCTTCAGTATGTTGCTAAATTTTTCTTACTCCAAGTCCATCATCTGTAAAATGGGGCTAGTATAATATCCTGTCTCACAAGATTATTGATGAGTGATAATTAAGCTAATATATGTAAATGTAAAGTATTGTATATAACATTATAAGTGCCAAGTAAGTTTAGCTCTTTCTATTACCACGACTTATATGATGTGAAGGACTTCTATCCTACTGTCCAGTCTTCAGTAAAATAAGGAATGGATTCAGTAAATGTGGAAAGCAGCAGGAACAGAAGCATCATTGTTACAGTGCTTCAACTGACCCAGATTCATCCTGAACTGACAAAATGGCAGTTTGAGTCCTTTGAATTGAGCATCAATTCAAGTTCACTTTACACAAAATCTGGAAAATTTTAGAGCAAAATGAAACCATAATCCAGAACCCATGCTTCTAGAACTGAATTATCTTCTCTCTCCTTTTTTACTTTCAGAAAGAGCATGGGATTTATTGTCAGAGAAACTAGGTTCTGAGCCTGCCTTTGCCTCTTATTAACCATAAAACCTAAAGTTTAGTTGGTAAATTCTCTGGAGACCCCCTGTGTAACATGGGGCTGATGATGATACTTTTTATTGCTGACTAACTATTGCTTACTTTCAACTCTCTGCCAATGGCACTTGGGCTCCTCGAGTCTTTCCTTGTCCATTCCTGAACTAGAGTGGTGTTACTCCTCTGTCCTCTATCATAGTAATTTTCCACACCATTTATTTTCTTATTTGTCTCCCTGAATAGATGGTCCATCCACAGGCAAGTGCATTTGCCTTGTTCATGTTTGCAGCAGGTGTACTAGGGTATAGTTGATGCTCAACTAAATCCTTAGCCATAAGAAACTGGTCGCTATAGGTGTCTAACTTGGACTGCATTGTTAACTTTATTCAGATATACAGAGGGTGATGCTCTCTAATTCAAAGAGCTACTTTATACATAATCCTGGTGATTTGCTACTACATCACTGTGTGTGACTAGTTTTCTCCAAAGAACGAGGCAGGCTGGACAGGATTGTCTAGGAGTGGTTATCATGTAGTATTTTATGAGTTGGAAAATGACACGACCGTAATACATCAGCATCAGGGAGCCCATGAGGCTGAATACATCATTTTCAAGGTTTATGGGCTTTAGGCACATTTTCAAAGATATGTGCTCATCACCTCATATTCTTTCTGTCTGGCCTAACAGCATATTTGCCCTTTAGAAATGTAATTATATGCAGACTAATTACTGGGCAATTGCAGTTATTTAGGTGACAGGAAAGATAAAAAGGGCTCTGTTAGATCTATAAAAGTGAACCTTGAGGGGCCACAGTGAAGAGCCTTAGAAAATAAGAATTGGTAGGCTTTGGAGACTCCTTTAAACTTGGGCCTTGTGAGAGTGAGTGTAAAGTCAAGAGTGATAGCCAGGTTCCCGATTTTAGGCAGTGGCGTGAGTTATGGTGCTGATTGCTGAGGGAAGATTTTTTTTCTTCTTTTATCTATCTCATTTATCTCTTTATATAATTTTAAGTGGGAGATATTGCTTTTGGGTTTTGGATATATTGGTTTTGAAATTCTAACAAGCACCTAGATTGACGTGGCTGAGTAAGGTGCTGGATTTTCAACAGATCTGGCTGTCAGGAGAGAAATCACTATTTTAGAATTGAGGATAGTCAGCATATGAGCTGGATGTATGCATATTGTCATGCAGAGACTACTTATCAAGAAAAGGAGAAAAATACAACGATCTGTGAATTATCAACCTCTTTTAAAAAAATAAAGATGCGCTTTTCTTCATACTCTGAAGTATAGTTTCAGGGATATAGAACTAAGGAAGACCAGCTTTCCAGAAGCTCAGGAAACACAGAGTTTCAGGAAGGAAAATGGGTTTAATAGTCACAAATGCTACAGTTGAGTAGGTCGTTCATATAGGCAAACTCTTTGGGGAGTTTAATTGTTAGTGGAAATTTGATTATGACATTTCAGCTGAATTCTAGGAAAGAGCCTAGATTGGATTTAGGGGTAAATGGGATTTGAGTCATTGGATACCATTATGAAAAAAAAGAACCTGACTTTGGAGGGAAGCATGACAGTAAGAACTAAAGAGTTGTATGCAAGAATGATAAGGTGGTAAGATTTTATCTTCTCCCCTCCACTAAGAGGCAAACAAACATTTTTGTAGTCTTGAGGGAAAGGAAATTGCAGTAGGGAAAAAGATTGAAGATAAGGGATAAGGAGGGGCTCATGGGAGAGCTTTAATTCCTAAGGAAAGTAGGAAGACTTGGGTTAAGATAAATTTCTCTTCTGATGACATTAGCTTTTTATCAGAGAAGAAGTGCCTCTTTATCTACACCTCAAAGGAAAGACACTTAAGATTGTAAATAAGTTTCTGAAATGAGATAATATATATGAGCTTAATTAATTGGAAAACATTTTGTCTAAATTATTTTTATAAAGGATATTATTTTTTGTGGAAAGTATATGTGTTCTTTCTCTTTGTCAATTTTACTTGCTTTTAAAGACAACTGAACATTTTCACAGACTCTTGAATCCTGCAGGAAGCTTTGTTTTCCCTTGTACCTGGCAGCAGAAAAGTGTACTTAACAGCAAAGCATATCAATGTTGTAATCAAATTGTTGCTCTAAAGTTTTAATAAATCTGTACATTTCTGTGAATATGTAACTCTTAATATGATTTGAAGTGGTTTCATCTATTCACATGGCTCTTTTAACAATAGAAATAATGAGGTTAATCTATGCTAATAAAACAAGTGAACCAACTTTAATTTCAAAATTGATTTACTTCATTATTTTTCAATCATGCCCATTAAATAATAAGCTGAGTATTTTAAAATACCCTACAAAATGCTAAGTTTTTACCAGTAGGCTTCTCATTTTTCAAACCTCCATTTTACTGCCTTTTGAAGACCTCAGGAGCTGGCAAGTGGAACCTGCAGTTTGAGGCTGATGACAGTAGTACTCAGGTCCAAGAGAGGTGCCAAATGCCTGTAAGACGCTTGCTGATTTTAAGAGAGCAAAGACAGGTCACAGAGCCCTTTGTGAGAGCTTTCAGAACTTAGTCCCAGGTCCCTGACGCTGTATTTTCATAGACATAATAATAATGTTTCTCACATTGGTCATGAGGACAAGGTCTGGAAACACTGGGATAATCCATGTGGCTCGTCACGGCCGAAGCAGCCTCCTAGGGAGGTGCACAGAGTCTGAGGGTCTGTAGACAGAAGCATGTCTCACAACAGTGAGCTGAAATTTACTCATGTTATGAAATTCAAGCTTATTTGGCCAAATCCAAATAATAAAGTAACTATGTGTATGGCCTTCAGTCTGTGTTCTTTGATGGAATCTGATTAGATTCTGACTCCATCCTGTTGATCCAGGTTACCTGTTGCTTTTTGGGCAATTGTGGGCCAGTATTTCCCAAGCAATAGGGCTAATGGGAGAGGCGTCTTAGGTTTAAATGTGTGTGTGTATATATATATATACATATATATATATAGTTCAGTTATATATATGTATGTATAGTTCAGTCGCTAAGTTGTATCCGGACTCTTTGCAACCCCATGGACTGCAGCACGCTAGGTCTCCCTGTCCCTTACCGTCTCCTGCAGTTTGCCTAAGTTCATGTCCATTGAGTTGGTGATGTTATCCAACCATCTTATCCTCTGCCTCCCTGTTCTCCTTCTGCCTTCAATCTTTCCTAGCAGCAGGGTCTTTTCCAGCGAGTTGGCTCTGTGTATCAGGTGGCCAAAGTACTGGAGCTTTAGTTTAGGGCTTTAGACAAGTTTCTTTTCTAAAGTGATGGAAAACTGTGCATGTTCTGAGGAGAAATGCAAGTGGTTGGTAATTCTAGTGGGAGAGAAAAGACTGCTGGCAAGGGGAAAGTTCAGTGAGGGGTAAAGGGCTTTTAAAAAATACTTCTTAATACTTTCTAATGCAACGTAAATGCAACTGATACCTCTCCAAACATTTTCTTTCCTGAGGAATCATTTCCTTCTATTCAGAATTTATTTTTATAGTACCAGGTCATTTTTATGACCCCATTAACCATTTTTATTTTTGAAATATAAAATGAAAATTTGTGGTTTTGTGTATACTAATACTTGTCTTGTCTCCAAATTTCTATTTTCCTCATGCAGAGGGTTACTTCTACAAGAGAACAGCAGGTTTGCAGAAGCACTACATTATTATAAATTGGCGATTGGGAGCAGGCCTACACTGGCTTGTAAGTGCTATTCAAGTCCTTTTAAAATATCTCTTTCTTTCTCCATGAAAATGGTGACCTAAAGCCTCATGGGTTAAAAAAACATGATACTACTATTTGTGAATACTTTCCAATCAAATTAAGACCCTTTAAAAAGTACATCTCTCTCAATTTTAATGTTTTAGTATCTGATTATCATTTTGATAAATTAAGAAACATACAACTTTTATTCATCTAGTTTCTAAGCTCAAAGTATTCTGACACTTTGAAGGCAGAGACTACTATATATATTATAATATATATATATTAGTGACACCTAATACATTTATATATTAGTGGTACCTCATATATATACATATTAGTTATACCTGTACTTTGTACTACATTATTGTTCTTTTGTATGTTTGTTCCCTGGAGGTTCATTTCTTGGTTTTCTTTTAAAATCAGAAATAATGCATAAAAATGAAGTTGAAGTAAAAATAGCTTTATTGTTTCCACAGTGTACATCATCTTCTCTCGTTTATATCTCCACTTTTTTACCCTTCAGCTGCATATTTAAACACAGGTATTATTCTAATGAACCAAGGAAAGACAGAAGAAGCCCGACGCACATTCCTGAAGTGCTCTGAGATCCCTGATGAAAACCTAAAGGACCCTCATGCCCACAAGAGCTCGGTCACCAGCTGTCTGTACAACCTGGGGAAACTCTATCATGAGCAGGGACACTATGAGGTCAGGCCAGAACCTCTCTGCCCTGTTCCTCCCCCTTGTTCTGATCTGGTCTCAATGATTTCTACCTGTGATCTCATTGTAGGAACACTGATAATTTAAGAAGCTAATTCGTATTTTAATAAAAGAGTTTTATGGGGAAATTCTTCTGGGGAAAAATCTCTATTTAAACAAAACACATTTTTTTCAGTATGATTTTCTCAGAGTAATATAATGACTCCTTATGAAAGGGAAATAGCATGCATTACTGCCCAAGTTGTTTGCTTACCATTTCTTTGAGTTTATGATTTAAGACATGTTATTATTGTTATCTGTATTCATTGCCTGATGTTAAAAAAATACACTTTTTTATACTCTGCATGTTAAGTGATTTGGTATAAATCCTATTTGTTTCTTTTTATTCTTTTAAACACAATAATGCAATGAAAGCTAATTTTATTGTTTTCTGAATTGGGAAGAGGGGGAAAGTGATAGATACAGGATCTTGTACAGGAAGTTAGGAGGATTACTTAGTCCTGTGTTCCCTATCTCTTACATGAAGCCTGCCTCCATGGGTTTTGTCTCTCCCATTCGATACCAGGACACACTTTCTCAAACTGCTCCCCCAGAGACTCTTACATGATATTTTAAGACTGCAATCTGAGGATCAGGATGCAATTTTTAAAATAATTGCATTTCATGATCTCGATTGTCTCAGTAGCTAGAAGATTGATTAGTTGATATTTTATTTAGATTGTACTTAATTGCTTGACTTGAAATAATGACGAATTTTAGAGGACTATGGGTGACTCCAAGATATAAATTTTTCTAGTTGTTTTTATTGTATAATCTATGTGAATTGAGAAATTTAAAGAGTATTGGTAATATTTGACTCCTTGTTAAACTTATTTTTTTATATAATCTTCACTGACTGGGTTGAATGATTTTATTCAAGAAATTGAGGTAATTTGATATCAAAGAATAGCTCAGTTGAATTTTCCTCTAATGAACCATTTAGAAAGCAATGGAATATTTTAATTTTGGAAAGATGTTGTTATTTTGTTTCAGTGAATAGCCGTGTACTTTATTTCTTTTTCTGTTTCTTAAATTAGGATGCCCTTAGTGTATACAAGGAAGCAATTCAGAAAATGCCTAGGCAATTTGCCCCACAGAGCTTGTACAACATGATGGGTAAGTAAAATAGTAATATTTTAATTGATATTTCAGGGATCTGTGGAAAAATTAAAACCTGTACTTGTTTTAAATGAATCTCTAATAAATCGTGTTTTAATCCTCACTAAAAATAACCCTATTCACAGTTGGATGTCACATTTAAATTTTCACAAAGCACACCTATTCTAAGAGCAAATAAATATTGTTAATATAGTGATTCTCAACAAATTGCCTGGATTCCAGAGTTGTTGAAAGGGGGCTCATAAACCAAAGTGGGTATCAAATATTAGCTAGACTCTTGAGATTGCAAATGATGAATAAAGTACATATAGATTTTGATGAGCTTATCAAATTTCTGATAATTTTTGATCATGTTATTTTCTTAATCAGAATATTCTCAAAAGTAACCATGCTGGGATATAGAGATTGTGATTTTCATGCTTACAATAGATGAGAATGAGCCAGCTTGTATGGTTTGCATTGATAAAGGTTTGGATTGCAAGAGGTTTTTTTTTTTTCCCCCCCTCCCAGGGTATTATTTTAGAGTAAAAGCAATACTGTGGAGAGTATAAATGTTCTAGTAAATCGTTCCTGTTTCTACATTGAGTAATTAGCTCAATTTTCTAGAAAGTATGCAAGTGGGGGCATCGATTTTTCTAGGTGCAAGAGGTCAAGAACTAGAGTTACTAATAAAATCTGCCTATAACCTGTGATTTGTTCATGACAGTCTCATAGTAAATTGTTAGCACAGTTATTTGATCATCACACACTTAAAAACCATCTGTTCAGTATGTGACTCTTGAAAAGAATCCCCCAAGTTTAAGATGTCCTGTTGATTAACGTTGCTGTTTCTAGATTGGGGAGAGAAGTGAGAGGACTGTTTTTGTCTTCCAATCAAATATTTCTTTTTCTCCCAAAGTACAAATTAAACCTCAAATTTTCCTTTCATTAAACCTGGCTAAGGTTTTAAAAAATATTTCTAAGCCTTCCTCATGCATATTAACTATATGTGACTACATCATTTCTAGGATTATTTTATACTTTTGTATCCTGTGATTTGAGAAATTTGATCATAGCCATATGCCTCTTGAGTACACATAAAAAGTCCCATGCCTTCCCTAACTAGAAAATATATGCCTGGCAAGGACACTCACTTCTACTTTTTTTTTAAACAAAAAAAAATTTAGAAATGTTTTAGAGCTCAAACAAGGCACACATCAGCAAAAAGAAAAAAAAAAAAAAAGATTTGGAAGAGGTTAATATATTCATCTGTCTCTTGAATCCTGACCCTAGTTAGCCTGCACAGCAGCAGGGTGATTTAATGCTCCTGTTAAAGAGGACACTGAAGAATTTTTAGTTGCTATTATTTTTCTCTTGGATATTATCACTAAAAGGTAAAATCTAGCTTCCTTCATTCAATGTACTCTTGTCCTTACCATCTTATGAGGTAAATTGACGCCTTTCACTATTTGACATTTTACTATTATTTTGTCCACCCAGGTGAAATGTACGTGTACATAAAATGTATACCTAGAATATGTAGATGTATCAGTTGAATGGACTTTTCTGTGTTAGTGCTGGATGGTTATTCATTTCACAGTGAATATTGAAAGAACTGTGTTCTCTAGTTTTCTCTAAGGCATATTGGTTTTAGTTTATAATTTCGTTTTTAACACTAATGCTTAGGAAGGACTATTTCCCAATTTTCCTCGATTATCAATGAAGATCTTTTTCTTTAAATTAGGAAAGGACTCAGCTCCTTGGCAATAGACTACATATTGCATCTTCGTTGTTAATAGGAAGTGTGGTATTCACTATAGTTAACGATTTCAAAAATTCATTCAATTATTTTATGTAAATGCGTTTGATTGAAAATTCAGCTGTTACCTTGGGATCTGTGTCTCATATGGTTACACAGATGCCTAGCACTCATAGGCAGAAAAAGATAAGTGTGTCCCTGGGATGATTGCTTGGTTCTTTGTCTTATTTTCCATCAAAGAAGGAGGGAGCCGCTTTGCCCAGACTCTGCAAAGCCCTCTAACGATCTGCGAGGGGAGAATCTCAATATAATTTAAAATTCCAGATTTCTCCCGTAATTATAGTGGCTGCCTTCTGTTTAATTTTATGTGAAGGTCTGTCAGCTGACTAGCTTTTGCAGTTTCAGTTGTTCACGAAACTATAATTTTCTCTGAGAGTAAGTTCACCTCCTAATCAAATGGGTGATATCCTCTGAGTGTTGGCTTTGACTCCTAATACATTTTGATTAGCCCCCATTTGACAAGAAAAAGAGTGGCCCAGGAGATAAACTGCCCTATCGGTTCATCAGCTTCATTAGTCTGTCAGCATGTGCTGATTATCCTATCAAGTTTATCAAGAGCCTTGAATATGTTTTCTAATTCTCATATTTGCATATTATTGGTGCCCTTTAGGGATCAGTGATGGATTTTAATGTCTGGCTAGATTTAGCCTGCAAGTATTCATTTTTCTCATGGCTCATTCATTTACCCCTTGAAGACCACTACCCCCAAGCACTTGCATGTGTATATGCGAACATTTTTTTTTTCTTTTATTTGGAGAGGTTAGGAGAAATAAAAGAATATGTTTGAAAAAATACAATTATATTTTAATTCTATTATTTGCTTAATAATGCAATTCATTGCAGCTGCTTAAAGAAAACAAACACTCTGGTCCTTTGTATTTCCCCTTCCCTTGAACATTTTATGAAAAACATCACTCCTTGCTGCATGCTAGTAGTTGACTTACCCTGAACGTCAAATGAGCCTATTTTTTGTTTGTGTATTAATAGAAAATAACAAGATTGATTAACTCGCTATCCCAACTTAAAATTTTCCGTGTTTTATCATAAGACTGTTAATTTTTATTGTGGCAGTTTATAAGTAAAATTAAAAATCTACTCGCATAGACATTTTCATTATTCTCTTTGATTTCATAGCGTCAAGATGATTAAGTCACAATAATTGAGGATTGTGTCCCATCTAAAATTAAGTAAATTTATAAGCATGTACAAATCATTTTTAAAAGATATTGTATATCATTTTTATAAACAAAAATTAAACTTTTACCTAGGCAGCAATTATAATTAGTAAGGTATGAAAATACATGAATTATTAAGAGGCCAAATCATAAAAAAATTGCTCCTAGCCAGTTGTGCGACTTCATTTCTGAATTTCCTCTTCAGAGGAAATGGGTTGGTTTCAGAGACCCCAGGTTCAACTTATGGCTTTAGCAGTTTGTAGCTGAGTAAAGTTGGACAGATTACTTAACTGAAGCCTCAGTTTCCCCATCCATAAGGTGTCTGTAATGGTAGTGTCTGTTTGAGGACTAATTGAGATAATGAAGGCAAAGAATATTGGACCAAATGCCCAACCTAATCAGTGGTTCATACTAATATCTTCCTTTGTAATCATTATTTCTGTGGGCCTTGAACTCCAGAAGTCACTAATTGTATTTTCTGGCAGTTCTTTCTGTATTAACAGTGTAAATCTGATTTCTATATAGATACAATTTTGAGATAGTGATGGCTCTGGAGTCACCAACGTGGATTCTATTTAGTTCTGTCCTATCTATAATTGCTGTATTTTCTCTGGAAGTCCGTTTTTTCTGTGTCTTTCAACAACCACAATCAAAATCCTTCTTTTATCGTTAACTGTATCAACCAAAAGTGAAACAGCCTGCTTAGCTAGTGCCCAATTAATTTAATTCCATTAATATAGTATTCCCTCTAAATTGAAATCATCATATTTAGAGTTTTTTCTCCTTTTTCTTTCATTACTTATTTTCTACCTAGATTCAGTCAAAATTATCCTTTATTCTGACACCCATTGTAGGTCTTTATTGATTCTCAATTTCTCCTCTTCTCAAATTGTAATTGATTTTTAGAATCATAGAATGCTAGAGATAAAAGATTCATATTTTTAAAACCCTCATAACATAATCTTTTATTTTATATGCTGGAAATTCACACCCAAAGAGTTAGGTTGATCTGTTTGGGATTGCACTATTTGTGTTAGAAACAGAAGTGTGGTTTCCTGATTTAAATTTAAATGCTTTCCTATTTTGCCAAAACTGGCATTCGTTACTATGTCAGTATAACTTATCTATGCCCATTTAAAAATTAGCATATGGAGATGGTAAAGGACACGAAGCCTGGCATGCTTTAGTCCACGGGGTTGCGAAGAGTTGGGCACGATTGAGTGACTGAACAATAACAATATCTATATTTACATATAGATTTATCTATGTAGATATATGGATATAGATATCGTTCCCTGTCAAATATATGTTAAAAACCTTTTAATCTTAAAAAGAATGAAACACCTACAAAATTGTTTCATCACATATGTATAAAATGTGCAAGATATTAAAAATTTTTATATGTAGGATAACTTTTAACCACCTTCATTTTTTTCTCTTCTTTCTCTTTATTTCCCTTATTGTGTATACTTAAGCATTATTTTTAAATAATCCTAAGAGATTGTAGGAATCAGTTCCATCAGTATGAATCTTTCCAATCCCGAAGGTCATTTTTAAGCCTATTTACTGTTTAAAATTACTTGACTTTCTCAATGCAAAGTGATTGTTGGGTTTAATTATGTAAGCAATTCAGGGCATTTCGTCTTGGTAATATATCTTGAGAACAAAAGGACATGATGTATTCATGGAGTGAGAGTCTAGAGTTAATGCCTTGTTGTTGCAGTCTGCAATCACTATGTTTAGAAAAATCTGTATGCAAAGAGAAAAAAAAAATCTTAAGGATACAAGTCCTGAGTTGGGGGGAGGATATGGAGGTGGTGGTGGTATGAAATTGAAATAGTTCATATGGTTTCTGCTCTCATAGAACTTTCTAAATGATTTTACAATTAGTCTAAAACTCTAGTATCTTTCCTTAATAAGTAAATGGCTATAAAACAAATGGATAATTGTACTACTGTAGCCTCAAGAATATTTTAACTATGTAGGCTATGCTATGTTGACTTGCCAAACAAACCAAAACAAAC